CGTGCGCCGCACGGTATGGTCCGGCCCGTGCGCCAGACGTCTGGAAAATCGCGTACGATGTCTGCTTGCAAGTATGCTTTAAACCCATCTATACTACCTCTTCAACACACACTCCCCATGGAACATTCAAATATAACACGCGGGCGTTCTATTGCGTTCTATTCGAAGGGGCGTTCTATTTGAAAAAAAAAACGAAAATCTCATCTTTTTAGGGTAAGTTGAATATAAATTATATAACGCCCGGGAGTTATTTTCGGGTGAAGACGGTAGTAGCCTCACTGACTCTAGAGCTTCAAGAACAGCCGACAGCTCGATCAGCTGAGAGGAGCAGGGGGGACATAGGAAGCGTAGGGGGCGTACAACGCTACGACAGACAATGCATTGAAGGCACAGAAATGGCGCATAGCGCATTAGATTAGAACAGCTCAGGGAGCCACAGGAGGACAAGGTCTTAGAGACACACACACACAAGACCAACAGTCCGTGGGAACTTCTGCACACAAGCTAAACACAACAGGAGTAGCTCCTGTAGGCTAACTTAGGCAGGGGTGAGGGGGTGGTACATCCTTCCGAATGGAAGTCATCGATGCCATCCACTTGGGCCTATCAACCACAACGGAGAAGAGCGTGCGTGTGTTGTATTCATCTTTGACTTGCCGGGGGAATAGGAACCGGACTGTCACTCCCCAGAAGGGTAGGAGCCAGAACCAGAAGGGTTTTTTCAACTTTTTTGTTTTTGTTTTTGTTTTTTTTAAGAAGAAAAAAAAAAGAAACAGAAAAGAAAAGCAAGAAGTGCAGATCACAATCGTCTATCGTCCACCACTTGGCAATGTTTGCAACCTTGTACTTCGTTTGTTTTTCCTTTTTCCTTTCTGGCAACCTTGCAAGCTTGCACTTACTTGCAGAAAGTAGTATTCCTGTGTGCTGGGGTTAGCTTTTCTTGACTCAGAGTTCTCCCTTTCTCCTGCTCCAACTTGAACCCCCTCCTCCCTTTTGCCTCCCTTGAGTCCCTTTCCAAATGTGCTTCCTCTTTTCCTAGGAAACAGCTTCCCATATGCTTTCCAAAACTGCCTTTCCTTGTCAAGAGTAGAACTAGATGCGTCCACTTTCTTGTTCTTGTCTGCAGACGGCTTTCCCGCAACAGCAGCTGTGTCAGCAGGAGCAGCAGCAGTCATGCTCGGCGTATCATAGTTTCCCGGTTTTTCAGGTTTCGCAGCCCAGGCACTTTGTGGCACTTTGGCGATGCCCGCATTCCCTCCCATGGTGTTTGAAACATCTCTTGAAAAACTCCGTTCCTTGCGTGGTTCCTGCCCGACCTCCTTATCCAATCGGACGCTCACGCGGCATACGTCCCTCGCCGCTTCTGAGCCCTGCTGCCTGCCATCCATGGCCACACGATCTCCTGATCGTAGGCTAGCGATCGCATTCAACGCGGTGGAGTATTCCCTCGCGGTTTTCAAGATTGAGCTCCTGCGGTACGTCTGAAGCAAAGACTCGAAAACGCGATCGCTCATGTCAACAGACACTCTCTCTGTGCACAGACCACGCCATTGGCTCTCCTGCAAGCTGTTGCCGGATGCGGCAATCGCCTTGCGCCCTTCACTCTTCTCGTTTCCAGTAATCCCACCGTCTGGTTGCACCTGATCCATATACAGATCCGCTACCCTTACTGATCCCCTCTTCACACCTGCTCTGGGACGAGTGTCACCCTCGGCTTGGTTCGTCACAACCTTGGCTGGCTCCACCACATCCATTCCTGAGTGGGCATGGGGTAAGACTATCTGCCTCAACGAGTCTAACGCTTTGATGAGTGTCTGGTCCTGTTCTGAACCATCGCCGCCCAAGTAATGCCCTCCTTCCAAGTTGCGGAGTTTATTCAATGGAAGCAATGGAACTCTGGGCCAAGCAACTTCGTCATTTGCCAATGGCGATGACAAGTCAGCACCTGCAGAATTTGACCACAGCATGGTCCCATCTGCCGGTCCAAATGGCCCTTCAGCCAGACCATCCTGCAAAAAAAAAAAACTCTTAGCAAGTTAGCAATGAATACATGTTCCCAACAGCACAAACAACAAACACAACAATGGATAGGAGCAGGAAGAAGAGGCAGAGGAGCAAGCAGAAAGAAGGGGAGGAGATGGAGATGGGAGATGGGAGATGGGAGATGGAGAAGGAGATGGAGATGGAGATGGAGGGGGAGGGGGAGGGGGAGGAGGGGGAGGTGGTGGAGGAAAAAATGTGAGAAAAACAGGAGGATGTGGAGGAGAATGGGGGGGCCCCAGGGGGAAGAGGAGAAGATGGGGGAGAAAATGAAGATTCTGAGGAGGAGGAGGAAGACGAGGGGGAGGACGAAGATAGGACAGAAAGAAGAACTAAGAAGGAAGGATAGTCGATACATGGAAGAGCGGGCAAAGGAGGAGAGAAGCACAAGAAATTACCAGGGGCTTGGAGGTAAGAAAGGGCAAGAAAGGAATGAGGGCGCTGAAGGGATAGGAACGAAGGAAGGCAGGCATGGTAAGGAGAGGGAAAAGAGGGCAAGCAAGTAGGGAGAAGAGGAACAGGGGGGGGAGACAGGAAGGAAGAGAAGGACTGAGGGAAAGAGGGAGGGAGGGAGGGGGAAAGGGGGGGGGGGAAGGGAGGAGCAAAGGGAGAGAGGGAGGAACAAAGGGAGGAAGGTAGGAAGGAAGGCAAGGAGGCAGGCAGGCAGCAAGGCAAAAGGGGGGGAGTAATAACCGGATGGAGGGAAAGAGGGAGGGAGGGAGGGAGGGGGGGAAGCGGGGGGGAGGGGAAGGAAGGAGCAAAGGGAGGGATCGAGGAGCAAAAGGAAGAAGGGAGGAAGGAAGGCAACTAGGGAGGAAGGCAAGGAAGCGGGCAGCAAGGCAGGGGAGGCAGGAAGGAAAGCAGCGAGACAGTAAGGAGCGTAGAGAAGCGGGAAGGAAGTAAGGTAGAGAGGTGGGAAGTAACGCAGAGACCTTTAGAGGGAGGAAGAAAGCGGGGAGGGAAGGAGAAAGGAGTCACTGTAAATGAATGATACGAGCTTTCTGTTTTTTAAAACAGGACCTTATGACCTGGCCACATATCCATTTTGCGGAGTGTCAGTCCTGTTCCTCCTCCAACGGCAAGTCATGGAACAATACATCATATGACACACCCATGCTTCCTTCCGCCAAGGCCAAAGGACCCCTGATCAGCATTGACTGCTCCAAGTGCTGGAGGATTCGCTGTCAGCTAGTCTTTTCCTCCTTAGGTTCCTCTTTGTCTTGGTCTGACCAGAACTGTCGGATTTTCTACAATACAGAGAAGATTAGCACGGCACCTGTGCAAGGTTGGCGTGGCGTGGCGTGCATAAATCCAGCAATGGTCCCCCAAAAAAAAGGGAAGAAAAAGAAAAGAAAAGAAGGAAAAACACCAAAGGAATTGAAAAGGATCCGATCGGACCAGTTCTCCTCTGCTGCTGTTTCTTTCAATGATGAGACTGCAGTCCTTCGAAGAATCCTCAGATCTGTCTTTGTGCCGCCTTCTTTCCCGGTTTTCAGGTTGCCAGATTACCGACCAGATTCTCCTGTTCTGGAAAACTGAACCCTTCCTCCTCGCCCAACATTCCATTTGCTCCATTTCAACCTGTTGTCACATATCATCGTGATTTTCATTTCTGAAGGAACCAGTTTTCTGCAAAGGCTTTCTTCTTGGCTTTTTTTTTTTTTTTTTTTTT